TCTGTGAAAGGATATACTGCAACATCTTTCCTGTTTTTGCCCCTGAAATACTTCAATGCCTTGGGAACAACATCTGTGACCTTCCCTCTCTTAGAAATGGGATGGTGGAAAGATGGTGGCTTTCAGTCCCATTCTATAGCATGGAACAGAAAAAAATCCTATGACCAGGATACCATTCCTCAAAAAATTGCAGCACCATGCAAAACCTCAATGATATTAATGCTTTTGGAATAATGCTGCAGTCATTGCAAATAAGGAGACTGCAGCATCCTTGTCTTCCATGAAGATTTCTATTTGATGGCAGGAGGGGGAACTGAACTAGAGACATCTGCGTGAGGCAGACTAGTTGTACTGACTTTATGTGGGCTCCATTTCTCTCTGTTTCTAAAGGTTTTCATTTTAGTGTAGAAGCAAAATGAAAACAGTAATACCTTTGAATATTTAACACCACCAATGTTTGAACGGAATAATGATATAAAGCTTACTATACTCTATTTTGATCTCCTGGTGACATAGCTGTAAAAATACATTGGTTTCCTTTTCTGAAGTTAAGGCTTACAGAGTAAGCATACTCCTGTATTTAAACATCATGTGTTTAAAATCACTGATAGTTTACCTATCCTTTTTTCATCCAAATGAACAGAGGATGCTACTACTTCGCTACTCCTGCTGCTTCTTACTACTCTGACTGTTCACCTAGGTAGCAATGCTTGACTAAAGCCACAACCCAGCTTTGAAAAACTAAGTGTGAGAAAGTGCTGAAAACATTTTGAGTATGTTACTAGTCACAGTAGAGCACTTTTTTCCTTTCCTGATTAAAAAAATAATTCAGAATGAACAGCCCTTATGGTATTATTGGTATCTGTAAATTAGGGGTTTTGGCATAGTGATATTGAAAATTAAATTGGTTTTTGACCCGATACCAACTGTGCAACAGTTCCTAATTTAGAAAGACAGTAAAGAATTTCAGAATTTCACTTCGTGTAGTGTGAAAACTAAGAACCTTGCACTGTATCACAATGTTAACATATTAAACTGTATCATCATGACAGACCTTAAACTTCCAGGTGAATGGACACATTTGTTTGGAGGTTAACTGCTACTATTAATAGCAAGACTAAAGACCCATAACTATATAGTCCAGATATTCCTGGATGGCATAATTGACAGCTAACTTCATCAGTCACTGAAACAATAAAGCAGCTTGTAGACCGACCAGCTTATTTTTGGTTCTTACAGGGAAAAGATGGACCAACAAGAGTATGCAATGATTACAGTAGATCACAAATGAAACATGAGTGGACAGTGTTGTTGCAAATACTGTAAACACCATCCTGGTATAAATAATCAGAAGAATGGTCTGCAAAACATGTTAATTAATCCTGCTGCTGTATTCCACTCTGATAGATCTGACCTATTGAAGGTCTATTAAAAAAACCCCAACAAACAACAACATACAGAGAAGTGGGAAACTCTCCCCCTGTTCCTCCAAAAAATTCAGGTTTGTAGTTGAAAAGACTTGCACAATAGCATACAGTTTTAAATATGTAAAACTCTAGGAGAAAAAAAAATATTCTATCACCCATTGTGCATGGAATAAGCTTCAGAAAGCAAAATTCATCTTAGCTATAAAAAGCTCTCTATATTAAGTACAGTGAAGCACCAGAAGAAACTGGTTGTAAAACCTGACAAGTTGTAGAACCTGCATCACCAGAGGTTTTTTAAATGTAGCCTATCTTTATAAAGTAGGCTATGGTATTGATCCTCTTCCAGGGAAAGGGAGCAGGTTGAATGTCTTTTTGAACTCCCACTGATTTCACAATTATTATTTTAGATTCCATTTCAATAAACAGTATGGACCTTCAATATAAATAGCTGAACAAACAAAACCTGTTCTGTAATTAAGGTTCTGTATTTTGAAGAGGCAAGTATAGAAAATGCAAGTGAACTAGTCCTGAAATCTCGAGGTTCTGAATGAGAGAAGACATGAATTCTTTCAAACTACGGTGAAAAACATTTATATCTTGAATCTCCAGCCACTGAAAAATTTTTCTTTTTATAGAAGAATACTCAAGATGAGTAACAACCTAAAGCTGTTAAACAGAATCTACAAGAAAGAAGAACAACTGGTCTTCAAAAAACTCAGGAAAAAGGCAATAAAAGGTAGAATCACCTAAAGTCCATGCAATTTAGGCTTTGAAACACAACTTCCCAAAACAAAGCAAAAACCTCCCCAAACCAAAATCAAAACAACAGTAAATAAGTGGTTTAGTCACATAAAAAGTAAAAAGGAGACTGAAAACACCAAAGATGTACAAAACCTAAATTAAAACTTTGCTACCATTTTTGATAAAAGCAGTGATGCTGATCACAGGTCAAGGACAGAATGGCTTGTGAATGATGGCATAGAAAGAAAATTTTTTGGCTTCCAAGGGAAAATAAACATGTTATAAAGGGGAGTTCACTAAATTTCAACTTCACAACTACAACAAAATTGGAATATGAAAATTATTTCAATCCTACAGAGTTTTGAATTAAGTATATCCAATCAGTAATATATATTACTAGAAAACAGAACAGTATATAAATAAAAAGGTGACCCAAACAGCCACAGGCAATTATCCTCAAGTTCTGCATGTATTTTAGAGCAATAGAAAGATTACTTCATCCCAAAAGACATCTGAAAAATGCGACAAAATTGTATATAGGTTTACCAGGCTCACTTAGTTAGTCCCTTTGAAGAGAACTAATTTTCAAAGGAAAACTAACAGATCTAATTTATCTGGCCTTAACACCTGCTGCAGCACCAAGACTGAAATCACCGGCTGGCTGAAGAAGATTATACAATAACTTTCAAATTGCTAAGAAAAAGATAAAAATACACCATGTTGAAAGGTAAACTGTCCAAGAGAACAGAAGTTCTTACAATTCCTTGAGAATTACTCTGGAAACTAATGTTATTGAACTTTCTCCAATTAGTGGTGAGGGTCCAAGAAACATTTTCTGATTCAGGCAGAAGGTAGGAAATTATTTGAATGCAGAAGCCACCATACTATTTGTCAGAGACAATTCCTTAACTTTGCAGTCTAAAATTACAAATGAGATTAAGCATTCCAAAATGAATGAAACCAAGAAAATTAAAGTCAAACAAAATGCCACGAACCTGAGATATGAACTCATGGTTCCAAAATGACAGGAGGAAAAAAAAAACCAATCAAACCTCAAGATTTCTATCATTACTTAACTACAAGTTAATGGTATGATACAGCTATGAACAGGGCATAGATGACTCAAGAAAGCATGAGTGGAGGTACTTCCAGCAAACATACAAATCCAGTGTACAAGACACTGGATAGATACCACCTAAAATACCATGTAATTTCTAGTTTCTCATACTCAGAGATTAATTCAATCTAGAAAAGACTGCACACAAAGGTGCTAAGAGGAAGGATTGTGCAGCAGAGACCAATTCCTCCTAAAGAAAGCTAAGAGTGTCTCTGCCTTAGTTTAAAACAAAACAGAGATGCTACCACTGTTTCCAAAAGCATGGTAGAGAACATCAGGGAAGGGAAATAGTAAACATTTAGTGAATGGACATAAAACACCTACAAACAAGTTAGAATGGGAAAATTATAGTGAATTTTCAGCCATCATAGAACAAGGGTCTGAAACAGATCTTGAAGAGCAGTGAAAGGGCAAGAACCACCCACAGGTTTCAAAAAGAAGTGTCATAAACTTGCAGTAGCCCGGGATTGGATGTGATCACCCATGAAGCCCTCTTCTACTCTTAATGTGCTTATATTAGGCAAGAGATCTACACACAAAGTAATTCGGTTTCAGCTAGCAGTAGCATCCACCATATAACATTCCTTCAGTCCATCTACAAAGTTGTATTAGACTGAGATGGCTATACAGCATGACCACCTTTGGATGTACAAAGTCATTCTGAAGTGCAAGCATCTGAGCGAGTTCTCTGTCTTAGAGGGATTAGGAAAGGAAATAAGAACCTCTAAAAGAAGAAACTAAGTACCACAGGCCAAAATCAGACTGCTCGCTCATTTGAGCATTTTTTAGCTCAGAGGTTACACTATTGTGATTTTCATATAAGGCTTATCAAAATAACATTTAGAAAGACCGAGTTCTGTTTAGTCTCTTTCCATCACCCAGCCACCTAGCTGGAGATGCAGGGCAGGGGTGGGGAAGACTGTCACAGCAGAGCAGCTATCAGAATACCAGTCTCCAGCAGCAGCACCTTTTCTTCACAGGCATCACCAGAACTGCAGAGAGGATGCAGTGGAAGTGCTCTCTGTGGACAACGCACTTCAACAGTGGGACCCAAACATGGCTTTATTCAGAATTCCAAGTCAGCCAAACATTAGCCCACCTTCAGAAATATTCTTTTGGCAGCTTGAAAATCACTTAGCCACACAAAACCCGTGAACGATCCATTACAGCTTAGAAATGTTTTAGTTCAGAAATGTTATGGTAATTGGAAGAAGAGAGGAAAAAAAATAATCTCCCTAATATTAGCTTAATCTGTATATTTAAGAGAGCTTTGTAGACAATTAGCATTACTGTTCTTTTCTTGTGCCATCATCTTCTCCCTGATAAAAAGCATCTCTTCAATATTAACAGTTGAACATAAGTTTTAATTGGCTTTTCTTTTAGATATTGTATACATGTTTTAATTAATCTATTTACTGAAGCTGATGTGTCCTTCAAAGAGATTTCTCTAATGGCATAATGTGTAAGAAAAACACTTTTTCCAAAGCGCAGTTGCTTCAAAAGAAGAAAGGAGACATACAATATATTCTTAAAGTGGTTAACTCAACACAACACATTCCTCTTGCAGGGGATTCCTAAATGCATACTTACTTCTATTTTCTGTTTTAGATTATGGCCTCATAGTTAAGATTTGAAGAGTACAAATGTGTAGGTCTAGTTTCGAGCATGCAAGTTGCTATTAAACTATAGTTAATTAATTAAAAATTTAAACTTACCTTTACGATCTTCAGGAATCACTTTATCTATTGCGTAGTCCACATCAAAAATGTATCGGTAAAAGCAGAGCTGAGTGTACAGGGCCTTATCAGAATACTGTAATGTGAGAAGATAGTAATTAAAAACCCAACTCAAAAGTGTGTCTCTTGCAACCATTTCTAAGTCCACTATCAAAAGGTGATCCTTTCTGGTTTTTTCTGACCATTTATATGTTCCATTCACATCAGATTTTGGAACTATTATTATGCTGCAAAATGTCTTTACTACTTCTCTACACTTTTTCTCACAATTTACACCAAGCATTTATATAAATGATACTAAATTTATCCATTCTTACAGAAACGTAAATCACATTTATCCATTCTTACAGATACGCATATCACAATGATGCTTTAGCAACAAAATGGAAGTCATAAGAATGATGGGACAAAGAAGTAACTTCAGTGCTTTAGTATATTGTACAATGCAATCATCTCAAAAAAGAAAAAGAATTAATGTATATTTTTGATGAATACAGGTGTATTCCCTCCCTTCCCACACATGCGCACACAGCTGTGGTTACATAAATTGTGAACATGCCATTCAAATAAGAACAGGTGCATATATACCTTTACAGCTATGTCATCACCTTGCTGTACACATCTGTGAAGGCTACTGCACATTAGTAATCACACAGTTCAAAAATCTGCAGGTGTGTACATGTGGAATATGACATTCAATTAAATACTCTGAATGTCAGTGATATCAAGCCTCTGTGCTATTCCTCTAGTTCAAAAGTACATGCCTGTACACATTTGTATCACTGTCACCATTCTGTGCACTAGAAGATTGCTCGAATAGACATGAGATCCATCTTGCCCATGCTACAACTAAACCCTTTCAAGTTAATCTTCTTGAACTCTTGTTCAATAAAACCACATTCCAGTCCCTGCTGTTTAAGCTACTGGAGCTCAAATATTGGCCAACAATGGTTTGAAGAGCTGTGCATTACAAAAATCCTAATTAAGAATGAGATAACCGTAACAGCATCGAACAGGGAAGTAGTGTCCATTTTAATACATTTAATACACATGTAGATATGTACAAACTCTTGAAGATTTTCTTGCTGAGCTATAAAACCAACGAAGAATGTGGTTAGACCAACGTAAAACTGTGACTCGGTATACTACAAGGAACGATCCTGAAAATGCAGTGGAAGAGCAACTGGTAAACTATTTCTGCTTATTGGAATTCTGCTTTAACTTAGCTTTTCAGTCTTCTACCCAATCAAGCCAAGTTTTGTTACTAAATTCAGATAATTTTACACTTCTACTGACATGTTATAAAGTATCTATAACTATTAAGCAACTGTTGAGACATTTAACTATTACTACTGCTTAGTTATTTTTTATATATTTTAACAGTATACTTTTTTCCACTTCATATGAACCTATTTTAAAAAAAGACACACAGAAGCTTATTTTATTCCTTATTAGCTATTCTACGATATGCATCATCATTATACTATTATACACCAGTTATTTTTAGTAAATCCTGATTACTGCTTCCTGAAGAAGAAAAAAGGAGGACGACAGCGATTAAGTTATTTGTTTAGTTTTTTAGATTCAGCTATAATTGCTGGTACACATCTCCCTGACTGCACACATGAAGCAGGTTGAATAGAACACTGAAATTACCTCCTTCATAATAGTTTGTTTTGATAATGTATTGTGTGTCGAGATGATGAGAAACAGTTGCTGTCAATTTGATTAGCCATTATATTTTTATGTTAATTGCCATTATTGGGTCCATTCTGTTTAGTGTCACCATAGAAGCCATACAATGTTAGCATAAATAACAAATTGGAGTAAATTAGGAAGATATATTTTTGCCAATTCATTTTAATTGCCCCTCAGTCCTTCCGTCGGTTAACGCAGCTGTTGACCCATAATAAGCGCTAGGTCAATATAGCTGCTTGTCAATTCAGAAATGCAAAGTGCTGTGTTGCTGGTAATGGATATACAACAACCTTTGCCAGCCAACTGAAGCAAACGAATGACAACCCACATGAAAGAATAAAGCATCAGCTATAGAGTTTAGTGACCTGATATTAGTAGGCAGGCTAATTGAAAGTCACTGCTTAAATGGATAAAGAAAATACAAAAATCAGTATGTAAAAAATGTATACTTCCACACATAGACATATATATACACACACATACACACAATTTTTTTTTACTGATAACGTGCTAGTATCTCCTTCCCTTTAGCTTCCTGCCACATCTTACAATTAGTAATTGGTGGAAAACAAAAGGGTTTGAAGATTTTCATGCAAATAAGCATGAATATTATGGCATGCTTATGAATCCAAGGAAGAGCTACCTTAAATTTAAAAGGACTTTAAATTTAAAAGGAATTACTTATATCATCATTTCTTATATTTCCTTAATTTCTGATAACCCTGTAGGTTTAAAAAAGGGAAAAAAGCCCAATCCCTAAAACTTCGAACCCAAGTAATATTTTACTTTTAAGGGTGAATTTTTGGTGTAAAGAAAACCTGACACTGCTAACATTATGGCAAGAACTTGGGCTATATTTGTGTCACCATTTATGCATTCTTCCCTTCCCGTGAAAGACTGAATGGTGAGTACATGAAAATAAAACTATTTTGAAGTTCGTATTTGTTTCACAATGTTTGATTTCTTGATTTCATTAAGAACTGACTTCAGCAGATAAATCTGCTTCTTTGACAGCTTCCATTCATGGAATGAACACTTTGTTCTTTCCATGCAACCAAAATTTTTTTTTTTTAATTGCATTTAAAACAGCAATGAACAGATAAAGGAACCAAAGGTATATAGTTTGCATTCAGCACAGTTATTCACTCCTTTGACAGAAAAATTCAGCTTATAATATAAAAATAACAGATGTAATAAAAAAATTCATTGTGCGTGGCCAACAAAATACTAATTTAAAGAAATCTAGGTTTAATACGGTTGCAGAACTGTCTCCTGTAGCATCAGAAGGCCAACTGCAAATCTCCAATCTGCCTTCCCACAAAGAACTTAAGATTACACAGATAACATAATAGGAAACCAATGGTGTCTTCTTAACAGAACTGGTGAATTACAAACACTGGAAAAGCAAATTTTCCCACGGCTAAGCACAAAACTAGGGTACAAAATGCTCAGTCATGAAAAGAAAATAATCTCGCTCAGCTACCACACATTGCAGAGAACGGCTCACTAGGGCACACATTAGGAAAGGAGACTTCACAGATGCCATGCATTTGTATTTCTGGAGTTCCTGAAGGTCAGCTGTGCCTCCACACGTGCCCATGTCCACTCTGCTTGACTACAATGACTAGCTTAGTATTTTTCTTGTCCCTACAGCTGCTGATGTTTGAACAAGACACTGGACTGAAGGGTAGCACCTTCTCTTCTCCTGTCTCACAAATGCCTAAAAATTGAGCTCTGGAGCAAGGCTCACTCCACCTCTCTGGCCCAGCAAACCATGATGCCTTTTTTCCACATCAAAGCAAAATTTCAAGTGGAGAATAGTCCCAACTCCCTCACTCCGTAACAGCGTAGTCAGTGAGCAGGGGATTTTTCCAGAAGCAGCAGACACAGGTTTGCAACCCTTCTGGCAAGAACAGAGTTGAATTTGGTTTTCTTAATCTTGCACAGAGAGGGTGGAAAAATTGCCAGTGTCCACCTTTCTTCCTCTTTTTTAGAAGCGCCAAAGCTCAACTCTCTGAAAACAAGGGGACCTGGAAAGATTTAACCATCGGCGAGCATCTTCCTACCCTAAACACAGTGCCTGAGGAGAACTTAAGATGCACTATCTCTCACCAGCTTTTCTGTTATGGAGGGAAGTTTGGTGGGAGCTGTATTTAGGCATTAAAATTAGAAGGCCTCTCCCTCCATGCTGGCTGTTGTAGATTACATCCCAAGGGACTTCAGTTGAGATGCCTCATTCTCCTCCATCCTGTTAACAGGGTACCTGCGTGGCTAACAAACCAACCTTTAAAATCCATTTAGTAGCTAAGGGCAGCATGATGACCTAGAGAGTCCAGGTAAGAAAGGTCTAAGGAAAGGAAAAAGGGAAAAATAAATAGAAGGAAAAGTGGATGGAAATTCACAACAGCAAGGTAGAAGACAGAACTAATGATTCTAGTGCTGATGTTTTACTTACCTAAACACAGTGCTATTCTACTAAACACCTTTTAAGTAGCATGTAAAACCTCTGTATCTTGAAAGTGTACATTTGAACAGGCCAGAAAACAAAATGCCTCTACCTAGATTAATTTTCTTTGAACCATTGTGAATTCCTGTATTAACCAAAGTAAGATGCGATGGTCAATGCTTTTTCAGTGCTTTATAGATTACTCCTATTCCTCTACAGTAGGTTGGAGTCTTTTATTTACTCTTTGGCATCTCTCAGATTCCTATACTTCTCTGTAGTCCCACCACACTCATGACCTTTTAAATCTTTTCTGCATTCTCATTTTTTTCTGCCCTTTTGCCTTCTTCTACACCTGACTCTCTCCCATTTCTTCAAGCCCTCTCTGTGGTGGTGTTATTTTGTATTTTTTGTCATTTACTGTCTTCTGCTGTGTCACCTATGGTTTTTATGGATGATGAAGGCAACAAGAAATTAAAAAAAAAAAAACCCAAACCACAAAAAACTCTCCCTTCTAGTTTGCTAACTCTATTAAGACTGCTTTGCAAAGAAGATAATTTCCACAGGCTACAGAAGTTATTTGTATTACTTCAATTAATTATAATACAAAACAGTGGCACCACTTCATTAATCAGCTGCTTGAGAGAGTTACTTTTGTGAAAAGCCTTTTTGGTGATTTGATTAGAAAGAACAGTGGCTCTTACTACTGTGATATGACTCAGTATGTCCATCAAACAAATCCTTTAGAACTAATTCTTAATACTTTAAAAACAGGAAAGAAAGAAAAGGAAATAGAAAAGAAGTCTCTTGGCAGAAAAATGTGTCTCAGAGACTCTTTCAAGGCTTAGATGTAAGGGAGCAAAGCGTACAGGAAATACTTCAGTGCTTTGAGAGGCATTTCCTCCCCTCCCCCCCTTAGAAAGATGCAGTAATTA